GCAGCCTGTGCTGGAGGGATGAGTAGGTTTCCATAAAGAACAGATGAAAAGTGTTCTAAGTGGCCAGAGCAAAAGCTGTCTATGCAAAACGGACTAAGATGTGCAGGAAACTGTAAGCGTGGAGCTCCTGAGGGTGGGACAGGGGAGAGGGTACTGAGATGAGGTTGGAGAACGAGCAGGAGTTAGATTATCGAGGGGCTTCCGAACCATGCTGAGATGGTGGAACACTATTTTTTTGAAATATATTTTTATTGATTTCAGAGAGGAAGGGAGAGGGAGAGACAAAAACATCAATGATGAGAGAGAATTACTGATCAGCTGCCTCCTGCACACCGCCTTCTGGGGATTGAGCCTGCAACCCAGGCATGCGCCCTGACCGGGAATTGAACCGTGACCTCCTGGTTCATAAGACAATGTTCAACCACTGAGCCATGCTGGCCGGGCTATAGGTGCAACACTATTATCCAGTAGGTATTAGGAATCTATAGGAGGATTTTTAAACAGGATTTCTGAGCAGAGTAAGGCCTGCTGCTGGGCCTCTGCCACAATTTAGCTAATTTCTTTGGGATCAGGTGGATGTTGGAACCCTGAACAGCCAGGTAGAAGAGCGGAAGCTTCGGGAGATCAGAGAGCGGTGCAAGGAAGAAGCTTACGGTAAAAGCCCAAGGCCAGAGGCCTGCCAAGGAGGAGAATGAACGGGACTGAGTGGACTAAGTAAGGCAGTTCTGCCTCCAAGTGGGGCCTTGAGGCCTGGGGGTGGTGGAACCAACCGGGTGGGCCTTGGGGGCAGGGGCCATGCTGAGTGGGCTCTGTCCCTCCCGTGGGGCTTCCTCCATGTCCCTGCCTACCACCCCCAGGTACCGCCCAGGTCCACTATGATATGGTAGCACAGATGCTAGAAAAGGAAGACGCAGAACGGACACGTCGCCTGGCCAAAAAAGTCCAAGAGTTTCGCGAGCAGAAACAACAGCTCAAGAATAAGCGTGAATTTAACCTTTGGGGTCCAGACCAACTCTGGAAGGGGTTTCAAGCCCTTCGCGCTAACAATGATGCCCACTATGGCCCATCCAGCTTACAGTGCTTCGCTGGGGAGGACCCAGAGAGGGCCGCGACCATCAGAATGCAGCAGGAGCAGTTGAGGCACAACCTGGATAAGCAGATACAGGAGCGACAGCAAGCCAGGGCTGATGAAAGGCGTACCGGTAAGTAGCTGGGCCCTCCAGGCTGAGACCTGAGGCCTGGTAGGAAAAAGTCCCAAGTCGGGAACAGCACCCAGGAGACCAGAACTGGAGGTGGTGGC